TGGCGGGTTCACAAGTATCTGAACTATCCCCTGTTGGGTAGAAAGTTTATGACTCCAACCAAAAGTGCAATGCACTAAAGCCGCCATGTTTTTCACATGAACAGAGCTTCCCCTCCCACCACCCTCAGAGAGGGATTGCTATGCTGCTCACTTCTTTGGTGTGGATTTCTTCCCCAACCTTAGCGTACTTAGTTTTGAAACTATAGGTCGACCATACGATTCCTTCCCCGGTCCTCTTCTAGGGGTTGGTCTCAGACAGCAAGAGGAATGGGGCAAAGACAGCGGAATGACTATGGCTTAATAATAATATAATCTCAATAGTAGCCTAACCTAACCTAACCTAAGGGGTTTAGTCACCAGAAACGAGCAAAACGAGAGAGTACGAGACAGAGACGCAAGCAAGGACGGAGCGATCCACTCTTTCTCGACTTGGAGCGTTCTGGGGACCATGGGCGAGAGTCAGACCAGGTACGAGAGGTTCAAAGACACTCGACTGAAAGGAGAGTTACTTCGTACCACTAGAGCATCGGATTCAATAGCAGCGGTTATTCTAATTGAATGTCAACCCGCGTATTCTGATTCACTTTATCCAATCAAGAAAGGGCTATGCGAAAGAAATAGAGAGAGCTCTTTCCGGCGAATGTGCTGCTGATTCAATAGCTGTTGATTCTTTGGCATCAATCCCAGCTGCCTTTCTTCGGCCGTCTTCTTCCACTCTTCCTAAGACCTGTAATTCCTTTAGGCCACTCACAGGAAACCCGGTAATTTGTCCTAAATCGTAGGCTAGGGCTACCTAAACCTTTCCTTCCCTCAAAGCAAGCCTATTCTAGTCTCGAGCCACTCCTTTCTTCCCTCACTATCCGAATTAGCTCTTCAGGGAGCAGGCTCGGCAGTACCATACGTGACATTTCGATCGGGCACTAGTCATTTTTTTGTGTCCTTGGTCAATGTCCTTTTTTCTGTCTAGCCGTGCTGTGAAATATAATTGTTATGGCGTTAGGGCATCTGGTCTTCAACATACTTTTCACTGACTTTTTTCTACTCCTTTGGGCGGCCAACTCCTGTTCTAGGCGAAGCAGTCGTCCTTTTGTTCCGGGGTAAGCTCCTATACAGAGCCAGCAGCTCGTGTCGTAATCAAATTCTGCTTTGAGAGATTCTTTTTCTTCGTAAAAAAGATTAGTTCGCATCCTTTGTTGGCCTCTAGCTGGCTTGATATTGATGGCTGGAGAACTTTTCGTATCGTACAATCGCTCCCGGCGATTGAGTGAGGTGGTCGATCTTTCATTCGTCAAAGTCAAAGCGGCAGCACAAGTAAATGCAATAGTATGAAAATTAGGATGCCATCCCTTAGCTTGGCTTGAAAAAGCCAATAAGCTTTGAAGCGGCTGGTCTTTAGATGTCTCTCTTAAGGACTTACGATACCCTCTCGCTTAGCTCGAGTCACTACGTACGTGAGAATGCGTTTTAAGGTATCGCTGGATGATTCCACCAATGAGAAGTGAAACGCTCTTTTATAAGTCATAATCTCGCTGTCTGCGTCCTCGCGAGCTTAAGCTTGCTCCGGATGAGGGGAGTACTTACTCATAGGTGACTGTGATGCCTTCCCCCCTTCGGCTTCGGCTTTCAGAGTTGTGAACTAAGCGGACTTTACATTGTCAGCTGATCTTCTTCCGATCCTCACTCGGGATTACCCCGGATGAGCCCCATCGCTTCTTTTCTTTTGTCTTTTTATGATTTCTCTAACCCGACTCGGGCGGTACTTCTCGCTCCTCTCTCTAATCAAAAAGGCAGAAGAGGAATCGGACGCAGCCTATTCTTCTTATTGCTAACAGCCTATTAGGGATTCAAGTATAGTAAGAGGCAGGAGAAGGCGAAAGAGGTCCCCCTCGTACCAAAGCCAGGTAATGGCAATTAAACTCGGGCTTGCTGTTGCTTATCAACTTCCTATTCAAGTGAACCGGGCGTAGCGAACAGATCTTTCTCTTCCTATGAATGCGCTGAGGAAGAAGAAGTAGCGATATGCCGCAAATCGTCTGTTAGAGAATCGTTTGTTAAAATATGATTTCTCTTTCGAGATGCGAAGAGTAGCGAGGATAAATGGTAACTAGTAGGGTGCGGAGCGGCGATTGACCTAATAGGAAGACATGGGCCATTACTACTATGGTAACACCTATAGCTGTCTCGAATTCAAAAAGCTTAGTAAGGCAAATGTTAACTTGTGTAAGGAGATATTTCAATATACTTTTATCGATGAAAAGAGGAAAAGAAAATCTTTTTAGCCTGTGTCTCAGAAATAGACTGCCCGCCTTCCGGCAGTCTATTCTGTGGAAGACTGTTAGCAAGAAGGAGATCTTTTGAGTTGAGGTTTGAAGGCAAAATCCAATAAGGCTAGGCACCTTTGATTGGAATTTCTTTTCCATCGGCATCCTAGCAATCCAAAGAATAGAACATGGTTGACCTTGCTATTGGGACTTAGCCCATACAGGCTAAACTTATCACCCCACTGGCATGGAAGAGGAGCGGAGGGACTGATGACTTTCCTCTTTAGTTGGATTGCAGGAGGCATCGAATGCAAACAAAATAGGGTACTTCTATAGCTTTCACGTGGCGAGAGGCTTTGCCCAAGGGTTTTCTCCCGAAATGCCCAGAATAGGTTTTGCAAGACTGCCTTATTCGCACAGAACAGTTAATCTACGAGGGGGAGGAAGAATAGTAGTGGAAGGGCTTCGAAATCTACCCGGTACTGAACTAGGAATAGCCTGACGGAATCGCCCCTTCGGGCCTACCTTCGACTGCGGGTCTCTCAACTGTATGAATACGAATACCAAGTCGGCCATTCACATTCAGTAGTAGTCAGCTTGCCTAGCAGAGGGAGGCCCTTAATGCTATCTGTAGACATTGCACATCACCGCAGTCTAACCGCGCTTTGACCTGGCACGGTGAGAAGCAGCCCAGTCAGCGCAACTAAAGCAGAGTAGACGGCACACGTAAACAACCCAGCCGAGCCGCCAGGGGCGAAGAGCTCAGCGAACTGTGAGGCTTTTGAAGAGGAGAGCACGAAGAGTGGATAAGGGGCAGATGTTCAGGGCTGCCCCTGTATCGAAACAACTAAACAAGCCAAAAAAAACCCTAACAACCAATTCAAGTGTAAAGATCCCAGAAAACACCATACAAACACCTTTAATCCTATAAATACTGAACAGAATGTAGAACCCCCTAAACCGCCTGACCCGCCTTTGAACCCCCAACAATGTTCTAACCAAACCACAAAGAATGATCTGCCTCCGGAATGGAGATCCTACCTGATTCCCCAAGTTGAAATTCCAGATATAATAGAAAGGAGCTTGACTCTTCAGAATCTTCGATACATCCTCAACAGAGAGGACGAATGGATAGTAGAGATAGAAGTAAAGTATATCACCCACCCCTTCGGATAGGCGCTTCCGTAGTTTTCTCAGATCCGTGAGAATGGGAGGAGCTGAAGGTGGAGACTTACATGTTCTATTATGCAACTCAGTGGCTGTTCCCATCCTGCTCTTGGGATGAGACTTGACTTCTCAGATGCTGCTTCTCCTTTCTTGTCTTGTGGCAGGCATAAAGGGTGTTAAGCTTTAAAGGCCACTAAGGCTGTAGTTAGTGAGTTGCCTGCCCTCGGTCTTTCTGCCGCAAAGAAGGAAGCGAAAGAAAGGAGCAATCCGCTTTCAAGCTGAAGTTAGAAAGTAATAGGTTCTTTGCCAGTGTGGGGATCATGAAGAGGGTGATCTATCTACTCGACAAGCCCTACCATGATTGAATGACTGAGTTATGCTCGCCATATAGGTCTATCTGGAAACCGGAACTTTAACCAGAACGTACAGAAGATCCTTCATCATAGGTCCCTGCCCCATAGCCGTTGTGCATAGTCATTCCAGGTCCACGCATGTTGGAGATAGGAGCGACTTGATCTTTGGCTATCGGGTTGATGGCGGTCCTATACTGGAATAATATACATAGTCTTTCTTTTTTACCAAGTGGACAGCAGGGACCCTCCTCATCACCTACTTATTTATCACTGGGTTTACCTATCTCGGTGGAGTAGGTTTATCTCTAATCTACCTCATCTACTTAAATCTATTTCGCGGAAAACCAGCTATTACGCATTGCATTGTTACTCGGACCTTCACCCTGAAACCTACGCCCGTCCATTCCTTTCAAGCTGTATCCCGGTTCCATCAAGAGTTTACCTTTCGCCCCTTTTTCCATTTGAAATATGACTCTTGGTTCTACGCTGTTGAAAGCTAGCTCCTGACTCGAGGGGGTATGGAATGACTTATATAATATAAGAGATCTCTCTTAGGATACCCCACGGAGAGGGAAGAAGGCTAGTTAATCAGCTTCGGGAAAGAAGGAAGCAAGCGTTCCAAGCGAAGCAAAGGAGCCAAGACAGTAGGACGGTTGCTAGCACGACTTATGGCTTTCTAATCTCTTTCTTTCTTTCCCCTCGGGATGTCTGTGCAAGCCTGTCTCTTTATAGATAGTCATTCCTTTCTTTCCTTTGTTAGAGAATCACCTCTCTCTGGTCTGGTAGGAATTCCCTCTCTTCTGTAGTCATGCCAGTAGTCAGCCAGGGAGTGAGGAAAGCCGCTTTCAAGCCAGTACGGTACCACTCTCTCCGCTATAAGAATTGAGTGAGCCGATCCCATGAGAAGGGTTTGAGCCGAGCTGCTTTAGCTGGTAGAAAGCGGTTAGCGCCTGTCGTAAAGGGTATTAGGTTCTGAAAGAAGACCTGAATACCCACCCGATGGGTTGTGACAATGACCATTTTTCCTATTGATTTGAGCTATAGATACTGTAAAAGCCAACTCATGTTTCCACTCAATTTTCATTACGAAGATGTATCACGTCAAGATCCGTTGCTCAAACCGAATCACGCCAACGTTATGGAAGTTCCTGGATCGTGTGAAATAAGAGTAGTACCAAAGGCACCCTATAATTTCATAATAAAAAATGGAAAATTGGCTATGGAGATTCCGCGCGGTCAGAAATTCATACAGACACAAAGGGGTTCGACAGGAAAGTCCTTTCGATCTAATCCATTCTTGGGGTCAAATAAAGACAAAGGATATGTAAGTGACCTAGCACGACAAAGCACTCTCCGAGGGCATGGAATGTCTAATTTTTCGGTCAGAATCTCGACAGTAATGTCTCTGTTAGATTTTCCGGTCGAAATACGGAAAAACTCCATTCAATTCTCGATGGAAACGGAGTTTTGCGAATTCTCCCCGGAACTGGAAGATCATTTCGAGATCTTCGAACATATTCGAGGGTTCAATGTGACTATTGTCACTTCGGCCAACACACAAGATGAGACTTTACCACCGTGGAGCGGCTTTTTGCAAAAAGATGAGGGGGAAACTCAGTAAGATGTCGGAGAAGCGAAATAGTAGAGATCACAAACGTAGATTGCTCGCGGCTAAATTTGAATTGAGACGAAAGCTTTATAAAGCCTTAAAGATCCCGATCTTCCTAGTGATATGCGGGACAAACATCGTTATAAGTTGTCCAAGTTGCCAAGAAATAGTTCCTTTGCACGAGTAAGAAACCGATGTATTTCCACGGGTCGCCCTCGTTCTGTATCTGAGTTCTTTCGAATTTCTCGTATCGTTTTTCGTGGATTAGCATCTCGAGGTTCTTTGATGGGCATAAAGAAATCGTCTTGGTAGCAACCACCAAACCAATAGAACAAAGAAAGGTTAGCTCCGCAGCTGGTCCACAAGCAAGGTAAGTAAGTCCATTACCAGCCGGCTCCGGACCGAAAGGACCTAACAGAGTAATCCCTTATCTTGGATCGGAGATGCGAACGGGGCGGGAATCGAAGTGGGGGACCTCTCTCTACCGCTTGTGTCTATTTCCTGTCAAGTATGCTCCCCAGACATAGACTACGTACAAAAAAAGGTGGGTGAACAAGAGTTGTCACGATAGGAAAGAGAAATGACTATAAGGAACCAACGATTCTCTCTTCTTAAACAACCTATATCCTCCACACTTAATCAGCATTTAGTAGATTATCCAACCCCGAGCAATCTTAGTTATTGGTGGGGGTTCGGTCCGTTAGCTGGTATTTGTTTAGTCATTCAGATAGTGACTGGCGTTTTTTTAGCTATGCATTACACACCTCATGTGGATTTAGCTTTCAACAGCGTAGAACACATTATGAGAGATGTTGAAGGGGGCTGGTTGCTCCGTTATATGCATGCTAATGGGGCAAGTATGTTTCTTATTGTGGTTTACCTTCATATTTTTCGTGGTCTATATCATGCGAGTTATAGCAGTCCTAGGGAATTTGTTTGGTGTCTTGGAGTTGTAATCTTCCTATTAATGATTGTGACAGCTTTTATAGGATATGTACTACCTTGGGGTCAGATGAGCTTTTGGGGAGCTACAGTAATTACAAGCTTAGCTAGCGCCATACCTGTAGTAGGAGATACCATAGTGACTTGGCTTTGGGGTGGTTTCTCCGTGGACAATGCCACCTTAAATCGTTTTTTTAGTCTTCATCATTTACTCCCCTTTATTTTAGTAGGCGCCAGTCTTCTTCATCTGGCCGCATTGCATCAATATGGATCAAATAATCCATTGGGTGTACATTCTGAGATGGATAAAATAGCTTTTTACCCCTATTTTTATGTCAAGGATCTAGTTGGTTGGGTAGCTTTTGCTATCTTTTTTTCTATTTGGATTTTTTATGCTCCTAATGTTTTGGGACATCCCGACAATTATATACCTGCTAATCCGATGTCCACCCCGCCTCATATTGTGCCGGAATGGTATTTCCTACCGATCCATGCCATTCTTCGTAGTATACCTGACAAAGCGGGAGGTGTAGCCGCAATAGCACCAGTTTTTATATGTCTCTTGGCTTTACCTTTTTTTAAAAGTATGTATGTGCGTAGTTCAAGTTTTCGACCGATTCACCAAGGAATGTTTTGGTTGCTTTTGGCGGATTGCTTACTACTAGGTTGGATCGGATGTCAACCTGTGGAGGCACCATTTGTTACTATTGGACAAATTTCTCCTTTGGTTTTCTTCTTGTTCTTTGCCATAACGCCCATTCTGGGACGAGTTGGAAGAGGAATTCCTAATTCTTACACGGATGAGACTGATCACACCTGATCAGTGAAAAATTCTGACACCAATCATTTACATATTACACCAAGAATTGACAAGCGGATAAGTTTTCTAGTTTGCTATGTTGATATAGCTTAGATAGGGAAAAGATAACTCCACTATAGGGTAGGGCTAAGAGGGCAATTTCCGTCATATCCAGTACCATCAATACCGGCAGAGGAAGAAGAGGTACTATCTCCCACCTGACTCACGGTCGCTCCACGAGAAACCACCACTAGGAGACGAAGCAAGCCGAGGGTTTCGAGGCAGATATCGCCATGACACGGTAGTAGGGAAACCGGTGCTTTTAAGCAGCACTAGAGAGGGGATAGAGACTCGATACTTCAAACTAAT